TATTTTGTTGAGAATCTTCGCATTCGTGTTCATCAGGGATATCAGCCTGTAGTTTTCTTTTCTCGTGGTGTCTTTGTTTCCTTTTGGTATTAGAGAGATATGGGCTTCATAGAAACTCTTTGGGAGAGTTTCCGTTTTTTCAATTTCCTGGAAAAGCTTGAGAAGGACTGGCAGCAGGTCCTCTTTAAATGTTTGGAAAAATTCGCAAGTGAATCCATCTGGGCCCAGGCTTTTGTTTTTGGGAAGACTTTTGATTGTAGTTTCTATTTCGTTGATGTTAATAGGTCTACTCAGATACTCAAGATCTTCTTGATTAAGCTTTGGGAGATTATAGGAGTCCAGGAATTAGGACAGACTAATCTTGAAGATAAAATAGTTTCATCCTAGTAGAGAGAAATATATGTCTGACAGGAGGCCGAGAGATGCCATTACAGGCCTGGGGTCTTTGGGGAACCATTGCCTTTGGGTCTTACCTGCACCAGGACTTGAGCCTTGCCACCGAGGTTCTGCCATTTTTATCAAGTCTTCATAGTTTAGTGTTCACAGATGGAGAGAATGGGTGGGCCAGAGATGGGAACAACAGCACGTGGTTCCCAAAACTACAGAATAAATTGTGAGGGTGAGCAGGGTGTGATCATGGGTGAAGCTCTAGAGGTAGGCCCAGGGGTTGGATTTTATTTATAGGGTAGCGGGCAGGGTGTTACTTTGAAGTCAGCAGGCTTGGGATTGTAGGGAAATGTGTCCAGGTTTGTTGAGGTAAGTCAGATAGTTTTAGGTAAATCAACTTCTTGATGTGCCTGTGAAAGTGGCTTTTCTCAGGGGAGTATTGGGGAGCAGGGGTCGGAGCTTCGGTGATCACACAGATGGTCGGGTTGGCGGGGTGATGGAAACATCCAGAGCACTGACTCGGCCGCACTGAAAGTTCGAGATCTAAGCTGCAACTGCCGAACTTTGTGACATCTCTGTCAGGGTGGAGGTGGGCTGGGGTCGGGCGGAGTGTGTCGGAATAGTTGGAGGAAGTTCACACTCTTGGTGGGATTGGTGTTGAAATATCATGCATAAAAAATGCATAAAACTTAACTATCAGTAAAGTTATAATTCACGGTTTTGTAAATTTAAAAAAATTAAATGCCCTTTTTTTGACTTTCTTAAGAAATGCTCACTTCCCACATTCTGAATAGTGACTGATTTAGTCAGTCACCCCAGGGGGTGAGAAAGCGCCTCCTTTAATAGCACCGTAGGAACTTCTCTGTCCATCTCATTAGGAGATTTTTGATCAATTTTTGCTATTTAATGATAACAAACTCTGTAATTTATATTCTCTTCCTAAATTACTGCTTTTAATAGGGCAGGTTGTTGATGAGGGGGGATAAAAATTCCAGATGACATTGAACTGAATTAACGTTTGCTTAAAGTTGCAATTTCCAAGATAAGGTTAACTGAGGACATACGTGATTGCAGCCAGTCAGGCAAGAAGAAAAAAATCTTAATACTTAGAACCTTACAGCCACAGGAAAACTTTTCTTCTCGATTCATTTCCCTTTTTGCAGAGATATTTTTGGACTAATAATAAAAGTCAGTGCAATTGCATTCCATGGAGGAAATGCAGTAGAACAAGAATTCAAGGAGAAGAAAAGGACTTATAAAATTGCTCATTGAGAGATGATACTTTTTAATAGATGTTGATAGGTTTTATTTCCCTACAGGAGTTAGAATTCCATGAATTAATTTTAAAGGATAATAATTTTAATATAAGTGCTCATTTTTACAGTATATCAGAGATGACATCTTTGAGCAAGGGATACTTTTTATAAACTCCCTTTGGCCTGTATATGAGCAGAAAGATTAAAGATATTCTCTTGTAGAACTTTTTGGTGCCCAGCTACTTTTTTTTTTTTTTTTTTTTTTTTAGCGTCAAAACATACATTTAAACGAAAGAAAGAGCCTAGTTGATCCTGGCTAGCATACCTCCATACTGACCTTGGGCAGTACTGAAGTCTCACATACATATTAAACCACATTGCTTGGGTTCCCCGCAGTCTTGATGAATGAGCAACATGGTGGATGACGTTGGCTGAAGGGTAGTATAGTGGAGTTAGAAGGAAAAATGACTTCTTTTACATGACCAACAATTTATTATCCAGTCATCACCTCCCTGTCCTCTGGCCAAGTCTGGGCTTGGCCTGCTGCATAGTTTGAAGGCCCAAGAAATAGTTTTGGTGACATTCTGAGATTCCAGCATGTTAACAGGAATGGTCTAGTTGCCACCAACCCACAACAGTGCAGTTGGTTTTGCAGGCAATGGGGAAAAATAATCAACAGAATGACGGTTGCATGTGTCAGCTTGATGGCCAAGAACAAGCTGTCATTTTCCAAGAGAGGAAAAAAAATACCACACTAATAAGGGACCATTGTTATTTGAAAATATTTTTTGACTTTAACCGTTAAACTAACCATTCCCTTTAAAAAAAAAATGGGGGTTGGGGGTGCAAACCCAGCAATGCCCAAGGGCCACGGTCGTGCTTGGGGGATCCATATGGGATGATGGGGTTCGAACACTGATTGGCCATGTGCGAGGCAAATCTTCTATCTGCTGGGCTATCTCTGCGGCCCCTAATCTTACCCTTCTTCATAAGCCATAGGAGAATTGTAAATTTGGTGGAACATTTAGGAGCCTGACCTTGAGCAGACCTGAATTCAAGCCCCATTGCTACCACTTAATCCACCGTGATCTTGGCCAGACAATTGAAACTTGCAGGAATCGGCATTTCCCATTTAAAATGGGCATGATGAACATCCACACTGAAGTGTATCAGTGTCTCTAAGGCACATAGGTATATGGAAATGCTGACTGCGCTTAGCTATTGTGGGAAAACCCTGGTAGGTGTCTTGAATCTTTTCCCTCTGTACTTTGCTCATTTGACCAACCTCCACCTTCCCTAAGAATATTTTTATATTTTGGTTTTAAGAAGACTATTTCTTCTGTGTATTTTTTCATCTTTCTCAAGCCTCTTCCAAGTTTGCCTGTGGTTGATTCCAGCATTCACCACATGTTCTTTCTCCTACGCTGGATCAGGATGTACAAGGAGTGTGTTTGTATTTTTCACAGAGCCTTACTACAGGATTTGGCACATAGTATTTAACAGAGCATTTGTTAAATTGTTTAATTGATATGTACATGGAAACCTTCTATAAGTTGTGCGGTATTAATCAGATGATATTGCTATTTTAGGACTTTAATACATGCCTAACCATTCCACTTGGCATATTAGGAAGTAGTAATTTGCTTATCTGAGTGCCAAAGATAAGAATATGGCCACAAAGCTAATGGGACAATGATTCCAAGTTCCAGGCTGTAACTTTATTTTTTCACTATATGTAATTGATTGTAGCAACTTCTGATACCCATATAATTAGTTACTATTTGCCTCCTTTCTATTGTAAACATCCTAGATAATCAGGTTAACTACCATCATTTCAATTAATGCTTCTCCCAGAATTTTGAAACTGGTTGAAATACCAGTCTTTGTTTCTATTTCGTAGTATTTAATAACTAGTTTTGAGAACTTAGCAGTAGGGTAGGCTCTGCACACTTTTGTCTGTTCTCTGATGGAAGAGCCCATTCGAGATGCGGGTTCTATGGTTTTTCTTGCTTGATGGTGAGAACTAAAACTAGGCATGTGGGGTCACTTTCTCTACAGTACAGCGTTCTCAAGTGCTGGGACCTGGAGTTGGCCCTCAGTAATCTGTTTATTTGTTTGGGGCCCTTATTTCACCTTTATCCTTTATTTGTTTTGTAATTTAACTTGGGGCTGGAGCGATAGCACAGCGGTAGGGCATTTGCCTTGCACGCAGCCAACATGGCCGACCCAAGTTCGATTCCTCCGCCCCTCTCGGAGAGCCCGGAAAGCTACCGAGAGTATCTCGCCCGCACGGTAGAGCCAGGCAAGCTCCCCATGACGTATTTGATATGCCAGACACAGTAACAACAAAGTCTCCAATGGAGACATTACTGGGCCCGCTCGAGCAAATTGATGATCAACGGGAGAGCCTTTACTTTACATTTACAATTTAACTTGAGTTGATGCAGATCGTGTAGCTGATGTTTTTCTCAGTAGTAGATCAAAAATGGATCACGGGGCCACGGAGAGGGTTTCAGGCTGGAGTGCATGCTTTGACTCCACGGCTCTGGGTTTTACCCTCTGCACCTTGTAGTCCCGTGTGTGTACACGGCTTCCCCCCACCCCCCTCCCCCCCTGAAACATTTCTCCTATCTTATCTGATTTTCTAAGAGATAGATTCAAAGTTAACTATGTAAAAGCAGGTGACTTGAGTAACATACACAGTCATACTCTCCACACCTGGTTTGAATTTTTAACACCTGTTATGGTGTTTATTAATCGAACTTCTGCATGCAAATCATGTGCTCAGCCCATTGGGCTCTCTAGTAAACAATGACATTCCAGAGCATATTCCTACTTGGAAGAATTCAGAACAGGGTGGAGAGGAGCAATTCGGTCTTGTTTTAAAATTCAGAGTGTGTATGTCATTCCCCCCATCCCCCAGTTGATCTTTGATCTCTGTCTTGCTTTACAAAAGCACAAATAATCTTTTAAGGCATATGTGTGATATTTTAAGTGTGCTTTTTGTCATTGTATGTTTAATTTGTCCAGAATCTTAAATAACAAATATTTGTCATTTTAAGAATTGTTAAAGCTATCTTTGCCTTTTGGTTTCAATGTAAAAAAGCCTGCTGCCCTTTGTTTTAAACCCAGGTAACTTGCACAATTTTACTGTTGCATAAATTTGGACTCTTACTGTAGTCACAAAATCCTGATATAATTAACTATTGTTTTCTTCTTTAGGATCAGCATTGTGTTAATATAATGTACATTTATATCACATATTCGGTTGGTTTGTTATACTTAGAGAAAAATATTTAAAAATATTTTAAGTTCTGTATTTTATGTAAGCATTTTCAATCTTTTTTTTAAAAATAGGTAAATCGAATTGGGAAGATGATGGCTGGGGAGCATGGGAAGAAACAGAACCCCAGGAACCTGTAAGTCATTCGTGTGTGCTTTGTGATAGGGGTTTTACTTTCCTAATGATTGTGATCAGAATTGTCAAGAAAGTTTTTGTGTTTAGTAATGCTGAAGTAAATAATAATAGTTAATTAAGCAGATCATATTAATGAATGATTAAATAATAATAATAATAAAGTAATACCTGTTCATAAGCAAGTTAGTGGCTTTACAGTTCAGCGGGTTAAAGGGAGAAGAGTTGTTTTAGGGCTTTTTTCACTAACTATTGTTTTAGACGCCTTCACTTACGCATCCGTCAGCAGTCTAGTTAGCTCTGGCCAAATTGGGATGAGGAAAGGCAAGCAAGGGGCTTATACAAAAAGCTTGGAGAGTGCATTACTCTCTCTCTCTCTCTCTCTTTTTTTAAATTTTATTGAATCACCATGAGAGAGTTACAAGCTTTCATGTTTGGGTTACAATCACACAATGATCAAACACCCATCCCTTCACCAGTGCACATTCCCCACCATCAAAATCCCTGGTATACCCCCCTTTCCCACTCTCCCCCTGCCTCCATGGCAGATATGATTCCCCATAATCTCTCTCTACTTCTGGGCACTATGGTTTGCAATACAGACCTTGAGAGGTTATCATGTTTGGTCCTTCATCTACTTTCCGCACACATCTCCCCTCCCGACCGATTCCTCCAGGCATCTTTTTCTTAGTGATCTCTTCTCTATTCCAGCTGCCTTCTCTCCTTTGCTCATGCGGAGCATTGCTCCAGCTATGGAGCAATCTATCTGTCCCGTGTATCTACTGTCCTTAGGTGTCAGCCTCATGTTATGTTGTTTTATACTCCACAAATGAGTGCAGCCCTTCTATGTCTGTCCCTCTCTTTCTGATTCATTTCACTTAGCATGATACTCTCCAGGTCTATCCATTTATAAGCAAAGTTCATGACTTATCTCTCCTGACAGCTGCGTAGTATTCCATTGTGTAGATGTACCAAAGTTTCTTTAACCAGTCATCTGTTCTAGGGTACTTAGGTTGCTTCCAGATTTTGGCTATTGTGAACAGTGCTGCATGCATTACTCTTTCAGGAAGTTTCAGGACCTGTGCCTTGGAAATTTGTTAGAAAAGAACAAAAGCAGCAGTCTTGCATGTGGTATTATGTGTGTGGGGTGGGGGAGGGGGGTGAGGGGGACACCAGACAGTGCTCAGGCCTTAATCCTGGCTTTATGATCAGGGATTACTTGGGGTGGTGGGCTTGAGGACCTGGTGGGCGCGGCTGCTGGGGATTGAACACAGGTCAACCACGTGCAAAGCCAGCGCCTTACTTTGTGCTTTCTTTCTAACCCTTGGATGTAGCATTGGTAGCTCTACTTTTGCTGATGAGTAGTTTTCTAGAATCCTGTCGCTCAATGACTGTTGTGAGTAGTACAAGCTCCTAAGTAAGAGTGAAGTTTTCTTGGTAACTCTCACAGATAGTGTGTGTCCAAGTGGACATAATTGCAGTCTCGGAGGCTGCTCTGCAGGACAGTTATTATAAAATATGTAAAATTATCTGGTGTGGGATTTCTTGACATACCTGTTGTCCCATGTCTGTTAAATGGATCATTCGAGCCATTGCACAGGGTTGGGAGTGAGGCTGCTGTGTGTGAGGCTAGTTTTCCTCACACGTCTCTGTTGCTGCATCTCTGCTGGCTCACGGAGTGAGTCTGGTTTCGTGGTCATGTGCCATGGGCCTGGCTTACCCCACAGTGTGCCTTCTCTACACCACTGAAACCCCAGGGAGTAGAAGGTGACTCCTCTTCCATTTGGGGGTTAGGGAAGCCAGCAGGCCTGATGTATGCGTGGATGTAGAGGTAATTATAATGGACCAGAAGCCACCTGACCTGCTTTCTGGTCCTTAAAGCTCACTCATGGTGGGAGAGGTTGTGGGTCTTTATTGGCTGTGCCTCTTGACTCATAGGCGTAAGGGACTGGTTTATTGAGTGTCTCGTTTTGATCTTCCATTGTTGCTGCTGATTCTGGGTGAGGTGGCCATTGGCGGCCTTGGTGTCTGTGTGAACAGAACTCCTTTAGGTCTGACCTGTAGGGTATGTTGTGACAGGGATGCCACAGGGATAAAGCCTTTAAACCATTTCAGTTAAAAGACGAAACACCCTTTTACTCATTCCCCAAACATAAAGGTAAAAGGTAAAGGCCCTCCTGTTGTTCATCGATTTGCTCGAGCGGGCCCAGTAACGTCTCCATTGGAGACTTTGTTGTTACTGTGTTTGGCATATCGAATACGTCACGGGGAGCTTGCCAGGTTCTCCCGTGCGGGCGAGATACTCTCGGTAGCTTGCCGGGCTCTCCGAGAGGGGCGGAGGAATCGAACTCGGGTCGGCCATGTTGGCTGAGTGCAAGGTAAACGCCCTACCACTGTGCTATCGCTCCAGCCCCCATTCCCCAAACATAAAACTCCTAACAGGGAGAACATTTCTGCGGTTGGGATCAAATGGCCAAGGGGTTTGTGAATGGTGTCACGGCTGAGGGTAGCCTGTTTCTCCCGGTCACGATGGACTTGCCCAGCCTGAGGGCCTTGCGGCCGGGCCAAATGAAGTGGCATTGTCAGGCTTCCTGGTCAGCTGTACTGGGCATACCAGCAGCAGGGACTCTAACTTGTTCTTACTGTCCCACTTTGAACCCTTGTCTTGGGCTTATGGACATGATGGGAAGAGGCTGTTGGGGTGACCTGAAAGTTGGTGAGGACAGAAGTTATTTAGATGTGACATGTGTCCAGCTGTGTTCCGGAAAGAGTCTTTGAATTTGGGTTCTGTTCACACAAGGCAGCATCTTTGCCTCGGGAGACTGCATAGCACAGTGGCCAGGGGGGAGGTTTGACTCTGTCTGGGTCTGCAGTGTCACCCAGAGCATTCCATGTGGAGCATGTGGGAACTGACTACATGGAGTCCCAGCCGAGGTCTGTGGTCCTGATCAGAGCCACAAGCAGGGCTCAGAGGAGACAAGTCACAGCGGCACCGGCTACCAGGAGGGAATGGACAGAACATCCCTTTGATCCTGGGGGGCTGAGAATACCCAGAACCCACCTTCCTTTAGCCTTTCGCCGGCACCTCTTGTCCACGTGCAGGAAGAGACCAGCAGGGGGAGAAGAGGCAAGTCTTGCAGTTAGTTTGGACACTCAGACACATGACGGGCAGGATCAGCATCGGGCTGTTGTTCTTGAGAGGGGCTGAGCGGAGCCAACTCACCCATCCAGGCCGATAGAGCATGTAGATCAGTGGTCAGTCAGTAGCAAGTTATAGCCCCAAATTAGTGTGTCTGTATTGTAAATGAGGGCAAAACTCCCACCAGGAGGTATTTGCTCTCTGCTGGGTATATACAAAGTGACATAAACCACAGATACTGTAGCATCTGGAAACCCAGCTTAGGACAGGTGTCCTGGCTGGTTTCCATATAGCCTCTGGCCCTGCTGTGCCCAGGAGAGACTGAGAACGGGGTCCCTTCTGTTTCTGGTAGGACATTGCCTCACTGATCAGGAGTCTGTCCCACTCACCTTTTAAAACTTAGTTTCCTCTAGCATGCCTCGAGATACATCAGAGGTTAAGGTTTCACCAAGTGATAACGTTTCATCCATAATGGGGCCCCAAATAATCAACCTGTCAGGCCTCCTCTGATGTGTACAAGTACAAAGAATAGGTCAAGGAATTCCTACTGCCCCACAGCAAATATACTCAAGGACTGTGCAGGCCAGCAGAAGGCTTTCAAGATGAAGAGGAAGCAAAGCACAGATTCTGAACTACCGTATGGTGACTGGACTAAATTTTAAGTAAACACCGTACCAGGCTAGTGGCTGGATTGCGGAAACTGGGGAACCAGTTACCCAGCACCTACTGATCATAGTCCTGTTGCAGGTAAAGTTCTTTCCACTGTTACGCATCTCTCAGAGTTTTGTTTGGAAATGATTTTGCTTCAGCCTCATGCTCGAAGAGGAAGGTAAGGAAATTTGGAAAGAAGCTTGACAATCAATCAACAATGGCAGGTTTGCTTTATCCGTTCATAAACCAAGAAGTATTGGGTCAAGGGTTCAACTGGCAGTAGTTTCTGGAACAGAAGGTGTAGCAGGAGATTGCCCTTCAGAAGAGATTTCAAAACATGCTCCATCCTTAGTGCAGAAAGTGCTGTAATACCACCGGTGGAGGCAGTTACAGTTAACAGGTTCGTGGGGAATGGACACACACAGGTCAGGAGGAGGCCAGGGAGAAATGTGTGTTTATGGGCTGAGAATAGGGTATTACGTGACCTGGATTGGGGTTCTCGGGGCCTGAGTGACTTGGGATCATACTGGAAAATGTTTGCCTTCTTTGCACTCTGGCGCCGTCCCGAGGCTGAGCATAGCTTGGTTAGAAGCAGAGTAGCACTCATTGACTGCGCTGCGCGGACCACAAGTGACCAGTAATCAAGGCTGGGACTAGATGAGCAATTCTCACCTGAGGTGATCCATTGTCAAGCTGGCCTGGGTTTTCACACCTTAGGAGTGGTGGACCCATCCATCCATTTATCACCTCCTAGTGCACAGTATGACACTGCCACCCCCACACGCCCAGTGCCAAATGTCACTGTGCCCAAGTGAAGTTTGAAATCACATTCTGAACCAGTGTTTCCCAGAGTGGGCAATAGTAGGCCCTGAAGGGGTGATGGTATAATTTGGGCTTGGTGAAGGTCTGGGTGCCTTTGTGGGTACTTTCTGCTTGGTCAGCTAAAGAAGATTGATTTCAGGGTGAGGGGGACTGAGTACTGTTTTTTCTTTTCTGAAAAGGGCGTGGTAGATCAAATACATGACTTTTGATGTAGCTCTGTTCCTGCCTTTCTTTCTGTAGAATCTCTTGGCCTCTTCAGGAGGGCTTCAACACTTGTGGCCCTTGAGACCATTTGGTTCTGGTAGATTCTGGTGAAATGATTTGTTAGCCTGAGAAGTGCAGTGGAAGGATGTTTGCTGGAGACAGAGACACATTTCAATCCTTCTGGATCT